GGGTGTTTGGATTTTTCACACATTTGCAGCCCGTGGGGCTCAGAACTCTCCCGGTTCCCACCTGAGCTGAGCAGAGGGAGGTGCTGGGCAGGAAGAGTGACCAGCACGAGGCGGTGGCGGGGAAAAAACGGGATTTTGGAGCCCAGGGATGATGAGAAAGCAAAAAGAGAAGGGATGGGGATGGGGATGGGGATGGGGATGGGGATGGGGATGGGGATGGGGATGTTCATATCCCAATGAAGACAAAGTGCCTCTGTCCAGGGGAGCCCCCCCAGGTGCCAGGCTGGATCCATGTGCGGGATGGAAATCCAGATCCCAGCCCTGCAGAATCCTAAAGCTGGAGGAGCTGAGCTGGATGAGCACCGGGGATCCAGGATCCCCAGGATGGACAGGGAGATCCCTGGGATGTGGGTGATTCCAGGGGCTGTTCCTGAGAGCTCTGTGCTCCGGGGAAGGGAAGGGAAGGGAAGGGAAGGGAAGGGAAGGGAAGGGAAGGGAAGGGAAGGGAAGGGAAGGGAAGACCAGATCCGTTCCTTAGGGAATCACAAATCACTCTGCCGGACCTGCAGTGTCGGAGGAGGTGGGTCTGGGCTGAAAGGCGGTGTCACACGCCGGGAGGGCTGGGCGGGAAGGGGARCATGGAGACGGCAGCGAAGGGTGARCTCAGTGTGACAATGATGAGAGGAATGGGGGCAGGAGGCAGCACCGGGGATACCAACAGCCACAGAGATAAAACCCTGGGACACGGCGGCCTTGGAACAGGGCACTGTCCAACCCACCGTGGGTCAGTGCCGGGGTCCTCTCATCTGTCACCGGTGCCAGGGAGCACCCAGGGCACAGGGAGGGGGTGACGAGTCTGGGAGGAGCGCGGGGTSCATGGTGTTCCCCCCACCCCTCGGAAGATCCCGAGGATCGCAGAAGCAGCAGCGCTAATGACAGGGAGGAGCTGCGAGCCGCAGGCTTTGGGATTCGGAGCAGAGGCAGCTGGGCGTGCTGCGGTGTCGGTGGGACAAGATAAGGCGGCGATGATAAGGCGGCTGAGTCACCTCGCCCTCCCTCGGGGATTTCCACTGAGCCGGAAGCGCTGGCTTTGGAGCGGCCCTGGGTGCCGGGAGTGCCCGGGAAGGACGGGGGAGAGACCGCGCCACCGCCGGTGACCCCAAACCTCCGAGTGACAGCCCCAAACCTCCGAGTGACAGCCCCAAACCTCCGGGTGACAGCCCCAAACCTCTGGGTGACAGCCCAAATGTCTAACTGACAGCCCAAAACCTCTTCCAGATAATCCCAAACTTCTTCCAGATAACCCCAAACCTCCTAGTGACAAGCCCAAACCTCCAACTGACAACCCCAAACCTCTGATCGACAACCTCAAATCTCTTCCTGATAACCCCAAACCTCTTCCTGATGACCCCAAATCTCTTCCTGATGACTCCAAACCCCTTTTTGATAACCCCAAACCTCCGAGTGACAGTCCCAAATGTACAGCTGACAACCCCAAACCTCTGACTGATAACCCCAAGCCTCTTTCTGATAACCCCAAACCTCTGACGACCCCAAACCTCTGAGTGACAACCCCAAAACTCTGACTGTTAACCCCAAAACTCTTCCTGGTTACCCTAAACCTCCAACCAACAACCCCAAAGCCCTTCCTGACAACCCCAAACCTCTGACTGGTGACCCCAAAGCTCTGACCCACTCCCACTGAGGGCTGGCATCCCGCAGCACAGATCCCCAGCAGATTTCCCCAGCTGGGCTATTTTTCCCAGTGCTAATTGCACCCTCCTCGTGCTCATCCTGGAATCCAGCAGCGCAATTTCGACACCCTGAGAGCACCCAGAGCTTCCTCGGCTGTTGCACAGCGCTGTTATCTTGGGAGATGTTATCAGCTGGCTTCCACCCACGGGAACACGAGTGGGGACACGGCTGTGACAGGGACGTGGCTGTGACAGGGACA